GGTGTGTGCGTGGCACTGGCGGGAGCCGAATTTGGGGCTTTCCCTCCCTGCAGGGTGAAGGAGGGGATGGGAAGTTCAGTTTCTCTTTCCAGGGTGAGATCAGCTAACCCTAGCTGAGGGCGAGAAGGGGGAAGGCAGTGTCAGCTCTCCCAGGGCTGTGGGGCGTGGAGGGGCAACCCAGTCCTTGGGGCAGAAAATGCGATTTGTACTGTAGAATAGCGCGGATTGTGCAGTGGGGACGTCTGACGTGCCATGCCCATACATCCAGCGCTGGGTATAGACGGGAATGATGTCAGCAACCAGCTCATCAGCTGTTCCCCAAACAGCAACTGCTGTCAGACGAACAAACGCGGCCATGTTCCTGCTGTTGGAAAGAACTTATGTGGGGGAAAAAATCTCATGGGCAATCTTTCTTGCTGTATAAAACTATCTTAACACATATAGGCAAAAAACCCCCCGAACCTTACAAGATTGCAGAGGTCTCGGTGGCCGTGCTCAGTGTTGGCAGTTGTTATGGGACTGTCAGGAGTGCTGGAGCAGGTGACTGTGAGTCAGGGTTAATGGTGGAAGTTCAGTTTCACTTTGGTTATGGAACATTGAGAAAGCTACTTCAAGGGAGGAGCAAGTGTGTGCTTGTCAGGGGAGGGAAGAGCTGTGGAGGTGGCAGGGTGAGCTATTTTAATGTCAAAGGTAAATATTCCCAAGTGAGTAACTGAGGAAGTTATCTCAAAATAAACTGCTCTGAAATGCTGTTTCTGTGCAATTGGTGTAAATAGGTGATGTCATGTTTCACCTGGTTGGTCTGGTCTCTGCCCTGAAGAATTATACCTGAATGAACAACCTAAAGGTATTTCCCTGTTTGGTAAACTACCTAACCTGTGGCTCAGTGCAGTACACTTATTGCTGCTGAAAGGGATGGTGACCTAGGTTTTAAAGCAAATAAATATAAATAAGCAGCAATTTTAATGCTACTGGTAGCTACCTGAACGGATATCCTAGATGTATAGGCACAGCTGTTACCTTTTTGTAGCCTGCTTGTGATGTTTGTAGGATAGGATAACAAATACGTCAACACACTTTCTAATGTCTTCAGGTTGCTGTCAGAGCTCCAAGACACATGGCTGGACTTTAAAGGAAAAAAAAAAAACAAACCAGTGCTGGAATAATTTATGTACTGGAAATATTAAAGAAACCTCAAGTACCTCATAATGTTTAGCTTTATGTGCTTCCACTTAAACATCTTAGTGCTTGCTTCATCTCCCTCTTGGGATATCAAAAGGTGATATGAAAGAAGCATATAAAGCTTTGTAGTTCCTTTTTGTTTCAGAAAGACTGATGTGATTTGGAAGCTTTCATCAACAGTGTTTTCAGAGTATGGGGGTGTAATTGTTATTTTTACAGAACATACTTTATTCTCTGTTGGTAACAGTTTAATGCAATCATTCTAAGTCACTATGGAGGCTTGTTCTGCTGTCTCCTTAGAGCATTCAGCTTAAGCAGGACTTGAACTTCTTTTTAAATATAAAAGTTTCTTTTGATGACTGAAGTATTCTTTCCTGCAGTCAGATGACAGAGCTGTTGGGGACCCCAGAGTCGCTCACATGACCCAGAGCCAGGAGGCTGCTCTGTAAATGAGCTGCAGGAGCAGTTTAAACCTGAGATCATGCTGTGGCTTGAGAGGGCAGCCCCGCCTCCTGGTTTGTACCTGGGCATGGGCAGCCAAGCCAGTTTGCTATCACACTGTTTGTCTGTGGCTTTCGCCCCCCCAGATGGGGGGGTTCCAGGCGTGCCAGTAAACTGCACTTCCATTTCAGGAAGTGAGAGTCCAGGAGTCTGGGTGTGTGAGTGAAAGTAGCTGGCAGAGTGAGGCTTTCAGTTCCTCTTAGGGGATGTTTGGTTTGTTGTGTTTATCAGTCTGAAGTAGGTTTGGTGTTAAATGGAGACAGTTTGGGATCTGAACTTATTTTTTATCCCCTTACATTTTAGAACCCAGATGATAAGTGGCATTATAATTGTAAAGCGGCTTGGTAGGTCTCCTTATTGTGTCAATTTTGGGGTCTGGCTTAAACAACATTTTCCAAGTTTTAATATCGTTAATGGGGAAGCACAGCATGCATTAGGTTTGGTAGCACTTCAAACAGGAAAGAAAAATACTATGATGAAAGGATTGATCTGTTCTTGAAGCCTTAACTTGCACTGCAGAACACCTGTTTAATTTGAAGTTTGCTGCAAAGGAACTCAACAGGAACTCAAAAAAATGTGACAAAGAAGAAAAGGCTGAGAAAGCTAAAATTAAGAAGGTAAGCAGTGGGTCTGAAACCAGCTCTTTAGATCTATTGTTCGCATACTATAGCAGGAAAATACCTGGTATCTTTACCATTTTCCTGGTATGCATGCTAATAATACTGTGATAGATGTTTGTGATTTAAAATATATTGCTATAAGTCTTCCCATACTCATTAGTAAATGTGAGGACACATTGCGAAGAGGAACTTCAAAATATTTTTTGAGTCCTTGCAGTAGTAAAGAGAGAGCCTCAATTATCTTTTGACTGTGTTTTTATCTGTGAGATACAACCATGCCAACTGTATCTGTGTTTGGGTCTTGTTACTGAAAACGTGTTTAGGAATGAGGAAATTGTTTCTGTGGCTCTGTAAAACCTTCTACTTGAAGTGAATCTAGGTGCCTTCCTTGGAAAGAAGTTAGGAGTTCACATCTTGAAAAAGTTTGAAAACTACTGAGGGAGGAGGGAGGGGTTAATAGAAAAGATATTGCGATGAATGGATGCTTATTTGAAAAATGAAATAGGCTATTCAGAAATAATGTCTACAAGAGCAGGGAAGGTTAAAACGCTTTTTTGTTTTTTCTTTTTCAACAGGCAATTCAGAAGGGTAACATGGAAGTTGCACGAATACATGCAGAAAACGCTATCCGCCAGAAGAATCAAGCCATCAATTTCTTGCGCATGAGTGCCAGGGTAGATGCTGTAGCAGCTAGAGTTCAGACTGCAGTGACAATGGGCAAGGCAAGTCTGTTTTCACGAATCTGCTGCAAGGATGAGACCTCTGATCATCTTAGAAGTGACTTAATTCTGTCTATAATGAGCTGAAAAGTTTCAGTTTTGGTTTCAGCTGTAGGCAATAGTAAATCAGGCACTGGAATCTCCCTGGCAGCTGCTCCTTACATGTTTTGTAGCCAGTGATTTCTGTTGGCTGTTATTAGTCATGCTCCTAAGGATACAGTGTGTTTTGCCAGTATCACTATTAAGATTGTTTTGCAAAGATAATGCTCCCCTTCCAAAGGCATAAGGTCAGTTCATAGGACTTGTGATTCCAGAAATCTTTTTTAGCTCAGGTAGTTTTTAAAAGTACACTACTGTACTGCTCTTTAGCCAGAGAGCTTTTTCTGCCCTGTGATCTGTATATCAAATACATTGGACAGATCTGGAGACCCACAGAAGTTAATGCCATATACACCTCAGTTTTTAGTGAATTTCAGCTCAGAATGTGTATTTCAAGTGTCCGGGTTGATTTATAGAAACCGGAATGGTAGGAGCCATAAAAAGTGGTGTTCTAGGTGTCAATAGTGTGTGCCCTGCTATTTGATACTGTAGAAACTCTGTGGATAGAGATAAGAGAGCATGGTAAGAAACTGCTCATTTTTCTTTCTTTGTAATAATTTCCTTTACCTCATTTCAGGTGACGAAGTCGATGGCAGGGGTAGTTAAGTCTATGGATGCCACGCTGAAGAGCATGAACTTGGAAAAGGTAAAGAGATATTTACTTTTCTTGGAGGTGCACATCAAAAGCAGAAAGGGCAATGGACACAAGTTTTTAAAAGGGAAATTCCAGTCAAGAGAAAAGGTTTTGCAGTGATCCTGGAACAGATGGCCCAATGTGGCTGTGAAGTCCCCATAAGTGCTCAGAACTTGACTGGACAGGGCCCTGACCAACCTGCTTGAACTCCGGTGTGAGATCAGCTTCAGAGTTGATGCTGGGAGGGGAGGAGGACAGGCTTCTCATCTCCAGAAGCTGCTTGCCCTTGTAGCGTGATTCTCATTTTGCCAGTTGAGATATATTTCTCTTCAGTTATCTGCAGATGATTGATTTGATTAATATTTTTTTATAGATATCTGCACTAATGGATAAATTTGAGCATCAGTTTGAAACACTAGATGTTCAGACACAACAGATGGAAGACACAATGAGCAACACTACTACACTAACAACGCCACAGGTAAGTTTTAAGAGGCTGAGCACCTCATTATTTTTGAGTTCATACAGAGCCCTCTGGTGGCTAAGCACAAAAATGTTCCGTAAAAGGCATTTAACCTTTAAATCGGTTTTGTTAAAATCGTTTCTGCTCTCTCAAGATTTAACAGAAGGGGTTGTAATAAACATGCAATATCATGCATAATCAATTTTGGTTTCTTTACTTTAGAACCAAGTGGATATGCTTCTACAGGAAATGGCAGATGAAGCAGGGTAGGTAAAATTTTGAGTGACTATTTCTTGAATAAAACTTGGTTCCAGCAACCCTTCCTGGTTAAACTGAAGGTCAGATACCTGTGTTTTAAATGTGTCTGTCTCTTGGAAGCAGAGAAGGATCACTATTTTCCTTTTAGCTCTGGGCATCATTCTTGTAATAGTTTAGTTGCCAGTATTTCATTCTGTTTTCACTCATAGCTAGTGTGAATGTCAGGATGCAGGGGTGGTTGCGCAAAAGCCTAAAATCGTGTCACTTGCCATGTCAGGGTAGCGTTTTGTTATTTACCTGGCTTTGCTTTAGCATTAGCAATACTTGTCATGTTTCTCTGTACTTTTCCTCTTTTTCCCCTTTTACCACATTAAAACTGCCTGTAGTTCTGCTCTCCCAAGCTAAATGTTGGAAAACACGTCATCATGACATATTTAAGCCTTTGGGATGTATTGAAACATTTCAGATAACTTTATTTGCCTTCTTGGTGACGTATAAGTTGAAAGTGTTGCTATGCTGGCTTGAAGATAAATAATTTGATGAATTTTATAGGAAAACTTTTTTTTATGAGTGAGCTTTTTGCCATTCATACGAATGCCATGCCTGATGTAATTCTGTTAAACAGCAATCTTGCTCAGTCCTAATGAAGCAGAATTTATTTAGTTATTGTCAGTTATAATCTGAATTGTCTGCTTAGTAATGAGTCAAGTTTACTGATCAAGTTGTCTGACTAGCTGGAGTACAGCATTCATGGGGTGCTGGTGACCTCATGCTATCTTGGTATTGCTCTCCTTGTCAATTGTTGTGCTTCTTCCTTTAGCCATGTATGCCTGACTTGTTTTTTTTTGTTTTATTTTCTCCTATTAGTCTTGATCTGAACATGGAACTACCTCAAGGACAGACAGGTTCTGTTGGTACAAGCGTTGCCTCAGCAGAACAGGTAAATGTTACATTCAACTGAAATCAATGTTTTCTAGAGAAACATGGTATGAGAATTAATGCTTCACTTGGTCGAAACAGGCTCGCTAAACTGGAGTTAGATTTTATCTCTCCAAAAGAAGTAGTGTGTAGTTAAAACAGTCTTGCAATTGGAATAATTTTAACAATACATTTGTCTGCTTAGTAAATCCAGAAAGTTTAGATGTCTCAGGTGTATTTTTGCTCAGTTATTTCACAGTTACAAACAGTTGACTCTCTTACCTACTCTAAATTTAATGAACCCAGCCATCACCTGTAGGATACATGAGGCCTTTGGGTTTTTTCTCCCTTTAATGTGTGAAAGGAGTTATGAGACACAAAGGATTCCACATTTGCTCCAGATGGGTAGCTTAGAATTTCTTGTGGATGAGGAGATCTTGATGCCAAGGTTGCACAGATCTTTTGGTGAGTTGCTTTTCCCGTTCTAAGAGAATATATTTGAGTGAATGGAAAGAGAACGGTTTATTTGTAGAAAAGGCTTTAGGGAGCCTCATCTTGACTCAGTGAGGTTTGGGAAGCATCGAGTATTCCACATTCTTTGAAAAACTCAGTTTCATCTTGTACCAGGCTGCCTAAAGCAGTTAAACATCCTGTGGTCTCACTGTTGCAGTTCAGTTGGGTACCAGCCTTGGTCAGTCAAGGCTGCATTCAAATAAGGATGCAGGTCTGTAAGCAATTTACAGTAGCAAAGATGATACATTTAAAAAAAAAAAACAAACCAAAAAACGCAAAACAACCCTGCCTTTACTTGTGTTCTGGAAACTCCTTCCTTGGTATCTACTGCTGGAGATATGAGAGCTGTGTGGACCTCTGGTCTCACCTGGTACAGCCGTTCTTGAGATCTTAATCTTGAGATAATTTTGTATCATCTGGACATGAGATTGCTTGACCATTGCAGAACTTTGCAAAAATCAATTTTCGTATTGCTGATAGTGGGTTTCTTTGTGTTTTACAATTCTGCAGGATGAGCTGTCACAGAGACTGGCCCGCCTACGTGATCAAGTTTAAGTTAAACGAAGCTGCAGTTCTTTGTACAGGCTTTCAAAATACCCTTTCTGTAGCTAACCCTGCACTACACTAGGAAGGTGTATACGGTATGGCTTAGGTGTTGGAATATTTGTAATGTAGGGTACTTCACTCCTAGCTTGCTGCTCTTTCTGAATACGTTAAGTAACTCAAAAAATATCAGCTCTCTAATGTCCTTTTCTGTACATTTTGAAGTTGATATATTTTTTGCAAGCTTTTTTCACAAAATCAAGTTGATATTCTAAGTCAGCTAGTAGTGTTGGCACATTCTAGCTAAAAGAAAAGCAGAGTGTCATTGCTATATATTTTAAATTATGAAGTGATTTTTTTAAATTATGGGAACTTTTTATGGTTGGAGAACTGATGTTTTCAGTTCAGGTGATTGTTGTAGATAAATTTCTTACACAGCCTAACTCCTGGAACTTGCAAAGGTGGACAGTGTGAACTTAACGGAAAATATGCTTCTTAAAACAAATAAGTGGACTTTAGTCTAGGGTTTTTAGTGTTTTAAAGCAACTAGGTGTTCAGTTAAAAAATCAGTTACCAGAAGTTGTTTTCATAAAATTGGGAACTTGTATGATATCGTCACTTTAGTACAGGAGGAATAAAATACATTTTTCAACTCTCAGTTCTGTTGAATGTTGCAGCTCACTCTTGTTTAATGTTGAGTGCTTCAGCTTTTCTATTTTGCCTTTTTCTCAGTATCCTGGGGTGCGGCCAGCTATGCCACTCACAACTCTACTTCTACCAACATTACATGTAGTCCCTGCTAACAGGGAACTCATGCTATCCATTTTTTTTTTTTTTTTTTTAGGTTGAGGCTGAGAATCTTTATATGAAGTAACTGAAGCCTGCTTTTCTCCATTCCTTCTGTCTTTGCTTTTAATCTAGTCACTTTTTTATAGGTAAGGGCAAGTCTTGTGATCATATTCCACACTTCAGTGTTCTTCCATGTATGTAAAATACAGAAGTGCTCTTCCTCATGTTCAGATCTTCACAGTCCTCCTTCATGAGTCAAGGTCCCAACCCTGTCTTCTCTAATGGTTAGATCAGCTTTTTCTCCTCTGCCCCCTCAGCAGGTGAGTGGTAGACAAGTAGCAGAGGCAGGCTGCTCCATGTGTACATCAGTTAGGTTGGATTAAGAACAGTTACTTTTTTGTAAGGTGTAATCTTGCTCTCTGCAGGTAAAATAACATGGTATGTAATACTGCAGTCATATGGAGAAGCTAGTTTGCTTCAGTGATCCCTTTAAAGCCTTTGTATTTCTTCACAGTAAAATAATTACTGTCTGCTTTTAATATTTTCAAACTTTGGCTGCAGTTGTGGAGTAAAGAAATGGTTGTAGAAGTTTGTAGCTGAGACTACTTGTGATGTGTTGTGATGTTAAAATTCTCTTTCTGACTTCCTGGGCTTGGATTTTTTTGTTTTATCTTTGTAGGTGTGAGGGAAGGTGTGAAGCACTAGACTTAGAATTAGTTCTTAATTTGCTCGTGTTCAGGATCATGTAGGTTTTCCAGTGTTGGGGAAATATTTAAGAAAAAAAACTACTTCGCTTTTTTAGTCAAGCGGGATTTTTTTCAGTGAAAACATGCAAAAAATAAGGAAACATTTCAGAGCAGTTTCAAGCTACATTTGGAATGTGTTATTCAAATCACTTTGAAGGTTTAGCAGGATGTTGCATACTGAAGTATTCAAGGTACTGTAAAAATAAGATAAGGAAAAGAAGATAGACTAAACAACCCAAAATGTTGTGGAATTGCCTCTGACGCTGGCAGCCTAAACTAAAACTTTTAAAATGGGATCTTTTCACTTGTTTACATTTATTTTCAACGCAGCTTTCTTTTAAACACCCTGAATGTTCCTCCTGTAAATAGGAGAAGTTGGAAGGTGTTTAAAAACCACATACTCACAACTGTAGTCTTGGTACAGTCCTTTCAAATTACTAATAAAACATCTTAGGAAAGGGACCATGCCCTACACTTTTTTTTCCTAGCTCCTTCTGGGCAATATAGCAAAACCATAACGGTAAATCTATGCAACCAGGGTTACCCACAGCTGTGGTAACTGCTTGTGTGTGTGCCTTTGCCTTGCTGAACTTTTTTTTTTTTTTATATTTAGTTACTTCATATCTGATGATAGGATTGGAAAGTTACTGTTGTGTCATAAATCCGCATCTGAGTGTACTTTGCAGTTGCTTGTTGATGGAGCTGTACCCTGAACTACTGAGGCTTTCAGAGTTTGATATTAGACAACTTTAGCTTGTCTGGCTTATTTTAATGTTGAGGATTATTATCCTGCTTTTAGACTGTTCCTGGCCGTTCCTATACTGTGGGAGGGGGTAGACGGCAATTCTGAGATCCGGTGTGTTTGATTTTCTGAGTACGTTGCCCTGCTGTGAGCCTTGGGGCTTTGGAGGAATTTAAAAATAAAGGGAGATGAGACTGATCAGATTGCAGCAGGGTGAATGTTAAATAAGCTTCGTTATCTCACTGGCTGTACCCGGCCTGTTTCGTAGTTTTGGTCTTTTCCCAGGCTTGCCAACTCCAGGACCAGAATAGTTTTCGGTATCTTTTTTTTTTTTAAAGATTTTAACAAGTAAACATAAAGGCTTGATTGACATGATTAATTTTACCTCTGTGGGACTATGATGCAAAGAAATATGTGTTTGAAATGGTGAGTTTTTGCCCTGCTGACTTCACTCTGAGAACCACTGCCTATTTGAACGGGGCCAGGATTTTGTACTGGTTACTTCTGTGTGTAGATCTCCTGCCCTCTCGTGGGGAAAATTATTTCTCTTTAGAAGCGCTTGTTTTTGTATGAGAGCTGGCATTCAGAAAGTTTTAACAGTTACATTTTTAATCTGTATATTTTTCTGAAGTCTTTTGGAAATACTTAAAACTGAAAGTTACCCTTAGAGCAATATTTGGGTTTTGTATGCTTCCTGCATTTAGGCTCTTTGCAAAACATTTGCTCTTTTCTGAACAACTCTGGCTCCTCACTCCTACGTTGCTGGTGTTTCTTGTAAGTTGACTGTATGTGTTTGTAGACGTTCATTTCATGTTAAATAAATTGTATGCACTTTTATGTAACCTTATTGCCAGGTAATATTTCAATATTTATGCCTATGAGCAAACACATCTGAAGTGAAACATTGCTTGAAATGTTGCAATGTGGTTTTGCTCGACATTTTTTTTTTCTTGGTTACTAAAACTGCTAGAATATAGTAGTGTTAGTATTCATAGTCTTCATTCATTTGAATTCTAAAACTGGAAGCCATGAAGAGCTTCAGATGAAAGGAGAGGGAAGGAAAGGAAGAGCAAAAACTTGAACTTTCTTGATTGCAATGGGATAAAATGATCGAGTTGCCTTTGTGGAGATCCTCAGAGCCAATAAATAGTAAAATTTTGTTAAGTATAATCAGCAGCTGTGTACAGAAATAAATTCTGAAGCTGGTGATGTGTATAGAGAAGATAATTTTTGTAGCTCTGGTAGAGTTCACTTTGAAAATTGCTTTACTTGTATGGGACGATTTGTAAATGTAACTGCAAGTGGTAAATAAAATTGTACAGAGAAATAATTTCATGTGTTCGTAGGTTATGTGGTCGTTTGCTGGTGGGGCTCAGGCTGTGGATAAAAAAGCAGATGTCATAATGTCATCAATATTTTCTTGTGAGGAAATAATCAGAAAACTGGCAGGAGATGGTGTGGGTTTGAGTTTGTCCTCCCCAGAGCTAAAAACCTTCCATGTTTGTTTTCCCCTTCTATTGTGTTTGGGAACCAGCAGAGGGAGCCTCAAGCTTTGTTTTTGCATAGGTCCTACATAAATTATTATTTTTTTAAATTCTTAAAACAAAGAGGACTTTCAGCATCCTCACTAGCTGGTGCAAGGAACAGTGTCTCCTGTGGAACCTTTGTTTTTGGACAGCATCAACGCTCGGTAGGAAGTGCTTCTGCGGGGGCTTTGATCCTGACCTAAAAGCTGCTCTGTGGCACAGAATACAACCTGGAAACACCTTGCACAGGGCCGTCAGCTAATTTGTGCCAACATCAGCCCATCTTTGCTAAATGCACTTCGAAATGTTTCTTTGCTGTCTTTAGGCATTGATTTGGGACTTGGAGATCTACTGTTAGGAGTGCGGGAGTGAATAAATTTGTGCTTAAAACTGGTTGTAAATTTTATTTTTAATTTTCATTAAGTTCTCTTGGGTTTCTGTAGCTGTTGTGTTGGGGCTTTTTTTGTCCTCTGATTATAATTCTGTTTTATACAGAAGGAAACACACTGCGTGCTGATAGAAAATGCTTTTTAATAGAAAATTTCATTTTCTTGTTAGAAGTGTTACGTTGAGATTTGATTTGATTAAGTGTTTTCTTTAATTTCAGGATTCTCTGTCCGTGTAGTGCATCACATTTTTAGCCTTAGTTTTAATCTAGAGCAAAGGCCTGGTCTGAGCTAACGGCAGCGCACTGCTTAGTGCTTGCTTTTTTGTCAAACAATATTTTTTCAATGAAATCCCCAAGAAGGGTCAGTGGCCTTGCTTGTATCGGAAGCAGCCCTCTTCATTACCATTCCAATAAAGGAAAAGACCGACGCGAACAATCTGCAACTAATTTCAAGTGCCAATTGAGCCCTTTTAACTTGGACGAAGATGCAGTAAGTGAGTCTTACAGGCTTTGGCTTGACCTTTACAGCTCTTTATTAGGGAAGTCATGCTGAATCAGTTGTGATACACAGTTCAAGATAGAAAATCAATGGGCTGTAGGATCCCAGCTCTTCCCAGTTCCTTGGAAAGCTTTCCAGTGCCTTCCAGCGGTGCCGGTTGCCGTGAGAAGCAGCCAGAACCAGACCATCTCGCAGCAGACTGGCTGCTTTCAGGCTCTGATCTACGCAAGGGTGGTTTCAGAGGACAGAAGTACTTAAGTATCACATATTTCTAATCTAAAAGACGATTTACTGTTGCGATGACCTGTGTGTATTGCTTAGGATGTTATAAACTTGTAAACTCTGAGTGAAACGATATTTTTGCAGAAGTATGAAGTATGTAAGTGTTACATACCAACAAATATAAATCTTTGACAAGATAATGATCATCTTAATAATTTCTCCACTATCTGTTTTGTAATTTTATTACAATCAATTTTGGTCAAAATGAGCTGTCAGGGATAGGAAAATAACTCCAAAACTTCATTTAAAGACACTCTATATATACACTGGCTTTTTAAACTCTCTTTTTCCAGAGATTAATGTAATGTGATCCTGGAGCATCTATATAAGATACTTTACTTTGTTCTTATCACAGTCAGGACTTTGTTTCTTGTCTCTTGGTGCAAAACTGGTTAGTGTTGGAACCATTAAGCTGTGTTTCTGTCACTGGTGGTTTTTCAGTTCCAGGGACCAGTATGAAGCCCTGACATTTGTCTTGAAACACACAGGAGAAGCAGGCGGCCCCGTGCAGAGTGTTGTAAATTAGTTCCAGTCTCCAAGAGACTGCTGGAACTAATCGATATGACCTGGAAGTGGATAAAGTCCATAACAGTAAGATCAGCTTTTCCTCTGGTAATTTGACAAATAGAATCTTTTCTTAAAGTCCTGTGTAGGCTGCATACCCCATTTGTTCTTTTGTGAT